GCTATTGCATTCAGAGACTGATAGAAGTCAGATGCATTGCTCTTCTTCAGTCTACTGTGCTGGAAGGGATGCAGGTCAGTAGACGCCTTGTTTGGAGCTTATTTGGGAGTGAAGATGTGTGCAGTTGGTCTCAACTGTTGGATCTTGTCATTATTTAAAGGGGTTGGGGACAGAATGGTGGGGAGAGGAATGGATGTGGAACACAGAAAATAGAAAGGTCATTATATAGAGAGAGAATAAGAACTTAGACCATAAAGGAGATAGATTGAGAACATAACATCCAGCGCTAGTATGAGATGCCTGGGATGATGTTAATGTCACTCCCTTTGGTACAGGAGTTCCTGACCCCTGAGCAGTCGCGATTTGCTGTCCGGGGAGTTCCTACCTTGCTGGAGGTCTCAGGATTCTCCTATTTCTATGGTGCCTTCATGGTGGGGCCTCAGTTCTCCATGACGGACTATCAGAAACTGGCAAGGGGTGAGATGACTGACGTTCCAGGCCAGAGACCCAATAGGTAATGAGAGACACTTAGCTCCTTTCCCTCCTAAGACCCCAGAACACCTTTCACTGAATCACCCCCACATTGCCTGCAGTGCAGTGCCTTCTTATCTGGACACTGAAGTACTGTGACCAGAAGTGCTTTAGAAGAGAAAGGATTTTTTTCAAAAGTCACTCGTAAACTCTCTGCATAATGTCCTAGAATTGTTCCAGGGCACGAATGTCAACAGCCATTTGATGTCTTCAGCACAGACATGGTGCCAACCTGGTAGTGCTAACATTGCAAACAGAGGCATCTGCTGCAGGGGATGTGGTGATTCCCTATTGCTGTCTCCCTTAACCCCTCATTTCTACTTCGGTTCTCTGAATCATGAATTTAGAAGTCTCTTCCCAATGTTTTTTCTTTGACCTCATTTTTTTCTTTCTCAGCTTTGTGCCTGCTCTCAAGCGCCTGAGTTTGGGCCTGCTATTTCTAGTAATCTATACCTTGTCGAGCCTATACGTCACTGATGAATACCTCATCTCAGATGATTACATGGTATGTATTAATGTGGTTCCATAGTTTGGACTATGGAAGTATTATACTTCTCTGGAGGTCACTGGATATACACAAGTGGAGGAATAAAACTCATTTTTTAAGGTTTGCCTCAATTTAAAAAGAATAAAAATATCAGCAACTGCTAATAAGGCTTCTTGCAAGTAATTTTGCTTTGCTGTCTGCCCTGTATATTCCACAACTGAAGAATCAGTTTTAGATATTACTGTTTCTCTTTGAATCCTAACATACATATTCTGTAACCTTTAAAAGACCATCCCTGTAATCATTACATTCAAAGAACTGCCAGAGTAACTTGCAAGGTTTTTTTTTTAAAAAAAAAAAAAAGTCTGAAATCTTGCAGACTTTACAGTTGGGCTATCCCTGAGTACTAGCCAGCTTTAGAACAACAACTTGGTTTCTTGATTCCCTCAACAATATTATTTTGGGGAGAGGGATGCAGCAGCTGACTCTGCAAATTGACTCATTTGATTTAGAAATTAACCAGAACCATGGTGATTCTTACAAAACTCTAACAAGTAATTTTTATTTGCAGATTATCAGTATTTCTGTGTCAGTAGAAACAAATGAGGGCATATATTCTAGAAATGATTATGCTAATCCTAAAGTCTTCCCAAAGCAGTTATTTCATTACAGTTAAATGTTACTAAAGGAAGTAAAATGATGTGTGAAAACATAAACTAGTAGCAAAAACTAGTAGCTTAGCAATCTCTTCCATATAGCAGTCTCATCACATGGATCAGATTAAAATGAAAGTCACCAGTAAGATCTCATCTACTCTGTCTCATTATTGCCAGTCAAGTCAGTGCTGCTCAAGGCACTTAAATTGTTTTCTTTTCCTGAAGTGCTAGAAATGAATCTTCCTATCTAGACTGCTGTGTTAGCTGCTCTGCACGATTTAAGAAATGTCAGCCTTGAGGAAAACCAGCCCTCAGGAAGTTGGCAATCTTCTTATTCTGTTTCACTCTGTCTTTGCAGGAGCAGCCTTTCTGGTTCCGATTGTTTTATGTGATGATATGGGGCAAAATAATTCTCTACAAATACGTAACCTGCTGGCTTGTTACGGTGAGTCTAGAAGTCCTTTCAGAAATAGACAAAAAGAGCAAGGGCAGCATGCTTGTAGCTATGGAGAATGTTCTTAGACTTGACACTAAATGGAAATAACTCAAATATCTGAAGATAAGCGCAGATCAATTTAGCCTGCTCTAAATTAGCAAAGGTTAACTAAAGGAATAGAAAGGAGGTAGCTTTTAATCAGCTTCTTCCATCTGCAACGGTAAGCACTTTCTACTGAGCAGAGCAACAGTCCAACCTTTCCCGATTCAGTCTTGCCAAAAAAGGGTGACGTTTTCCTCTTATTTTTAATTCTTCCCTGTATCTTTTTTTCCACAGGAAGGTGTCTGCATCCTTGTTGGTTTGGGATACAATGGGAAAGATAAGAGTGGAAAGCCTATGTGGGATGCTTGTGCCAACATGAAGATCTGGCTGTATGAGACAACGCCTTTGTTCACAGGGACCATCAATTCTTTTAACATCAACACCAATGCTTGGGTGGCCCGGTGAGCAGGACAAACTTCTCCACTTCTGTGTTGTGCCAGTAACTTCTGCTTTGGGTAGAACCAAGATTCTAAGGCAGAGGGAATGCCAGAGGAAGAATCTGCCAGTTCTCAGTTCTTAGACTCTTCCTTATATTCTGTTCCTGGCTGCTGCCCTATTGAAAAAGGTTACTGAATCAGATAGGCTTTTTGATGCTACCTAAAGTGTCATCAGATGTGATGCAGGCAAAAAGTAGAAGATAGCAAAAACAGAGAAGGCTTTGGGGGCAGACATGAGAACAGAACCATAGTGAGCCCTTGGGCACGCTTGGTCAAACAACAGACTGCTCCAAAAGCTGGCTCCTACATGGTGCCTCTTAATTCAGGGCTGTGCAATGACTTGACAGGGGTTTGGTTCAGCTTTTGCTGGAATACACACCCGAACTGTAAAATATCTTGCTTGCTTTGTGTTGTGGGATAGAACATCTCTCCCTATTAGCTGGGACTTCTTTAAGACCGGCTGAGTTACATTTTTCTGTGGTAAGAGGAGCTATCTTCCTTGCTTGTCCTCACAGAGATACACAGGAGTAAATGATCTCCTGGGCCCTACATCTCCAACATGGAGAGGGGAGGAGAGTCAGCAGCCTAGAAGAACATTGAGTTGGTTTCTTTTCTGCTCTAGCTACATCTTCAAACGCCTGAAGTTCCTGGGTAACAAACTGCTGTCACAGGCCCTGGCTCTGTTCTTCCTGGCCATTTGGCATGGACTGCACTCTGGTTACCTCGTGTGCTTTCAGATGGAGTTGCTTATAGTCATCGTTGAAAGACAGGTGCGCTTTGAATTACTGCAGTGGGGTGGCATGTGCGCTTGAGCCGGGAAACTGCCACACAGAGAGCTTTGCATGAATTAAATACAAAATGCATCTTCTCACTTTGAAATTGGTGCTCAAACACTACTGATCAAGAGTTAAGTCAGTTGCTTTTGCAAGGGCAAGTCATAAATTTACTGCAGAAGCTGACAGGAAGGAAACTGGAGAACTTAGCACATAACTATAGGGAAACTGAAGAGCTTGGCACCTGGGAAGCTGGAAGATATGCACATGAACTGAATACTCTTGTTAAATCTCAGTGTGAGAGGACAGCATTCTGTATTTTATCTCATTGATTTTGGATTAAAACTTTGAGCAGAATGGGATATTCCTTACGCACAGGTTATTGATTTGACGTAACTGGATAGATATTTTGCTTGCAGAACCTGCATATACAGCCACAGCCACATGCAACTAAGCAGAATTCTACTGTCTTTTTTTTCTTTAAACTAGATCATAAACCTTGTTCGGGACAGCCCTGTCCTGAGTGCTTTGGCCTCCATCACCATCTTGCAGCCCATCTTCTACATGTTGCAGCAGGCTCATCACTGGACCTTTATGGGTTACTCTCTGGTGCCATTTTGCCTTTTCACCTGGGACAAATGGATGAAGGTATTTAGAAGCCTCACAAGGACAGCCTTTCTCCCTGAACATCTCATGCAGAGTTGCTCCAGATCTGCTTGTTGATCTGTAACCATGCCTTTCTCTTTACAGGTGTACAGGTCTATTTATTTCATTGGCCATGTGTTGTTCTTCACTTTATTATTGGTGTTGCCTTATATTCGTAAAATAATGGTGCCACGAAAAGAAAAGCTAAAAAAGGCAGAATAGCAGCCAAAAGGTAAGCATGTATGGGGTGTTGGGGAATGCTAACAGAGAGAGGATCCTGCACTCAGACAAGGAGGTGGGACACACGATCGGTGTTACGTCCTGAAGTGAAAGAGATGAAAACAGAGACTCCTCTTTTATTTTCCAGATTGTACCACGTGTGCATTTCTAGGAGTTGATTTAACACTCCGGAAGCAAAAGCATCACCTGCCAAGTTTGCTGTGTTGAAGTATGACTTCTTTCAACATGAGGGGGAAAGAGAAAGCACAGGGTCAGAGACCCCAAAAGAGGGGTATGGAGGAATTCTCCTTCCAGATCCTCCACTTTCTATGTTGCCTTATCTCTCTGCCACCCTCCCATGAACACTCTTGTCTCTCTGCTGATACCAGATGATTGTAAGACACTCAACGCAGGCACTATATTGCAATGGAGCCACCTTCTGACTTTTCTACGTTTGTCATCCAAGATAAAAATTGCTCCTGTTTTTCATATCTGCTTCAGCTCCTTTCCTCTGGGGTGCCTCCATGTGGGAAGGATGGATGGTTTTCCAGCACAGAGCAAGGTAATTTTAAAGGACCGATTAACACAAGCTACAGGTCTAGCAGGGACAGCAAAGAACCTGCAGTTCTAAGAGAGCTTTGGGCTGCACCCCTGCTATAAAGACAGACTCTGGCCTACTCTCTTAAGAAATATGAGAAAGCAGATATACACACCTTCTTATCAAAAGTGACCTTTAATGGGAGAACAAAGACAGCGGGCAGTCCCTTTAGAGTCTCATTGCTGCAAAAGCTACAAAGAAGAAATTGAAGCCTTTTCCCTTCCAGGAGTTGAAGGTTGCACCAAGTCCATGCCTGAATAAAAAAGCCCCTCCAGAACCCGGAATCACTATAAAGGAGTCCACCATGGCAAGAGCTAGAGGCAGAAGTTCATACCACTCCCCAGGCTTCCTCAAAGGCAGTAGTAATCTTGGCGCACGTCAGGGCAGCAGAGAGAGGATAGTTACTGATAGAGATCATCTTTTCTGTATAGTCAACGTTGACCTGGGGCAAGAGAGAGAAGTTAAGTTGCATGTTTTCACTTAATCCTCTCCCCTTTCCTTGCCAGGAGAGGCACAGTGTTTCTTCCACGTGCTTGTGCTTCATGCAAGTCTTAAGTCGCAGTAGAGCAAACTGCCCACCCTCACCCCTGCCCTCTCCCCTGTGAGGGGCAAGACCTAAGTTCTGCAGAGCTGAATAGTTTCTTGACACAAATCAACCTTGGGGAAATGGGAGGGAGGGTGGGACGGTGGGGAGCCGAAAACGAGCAAACAAGAAGTGGAACAGAACAGCATGTACACGGTAACCTGTTCTGAGCGGGATCCTTCCAACGCGAGGCCAGAAACGCACGCACTTACCGACCCATGGGCAAAAGCTCCCACAACTATGGCAACTGGCTCTGCTGCAGGAACCAGTTCGCGCAGGTCTGACACTTTGGGGACTGCAAAAGAGGTGCCTATCTTCATGCAGCCCACAGGCAGATGATCACTGACTGGATTTTTAATCACCTGCAGAGAGCAGAAAGTTGATGGCAGGAGGAGGGGGGCAGAGGTAAGAGATCTGCCACGTAGCTAGGTCTGCTGTTTGCATGCTCCTCCTATATCCCTAGCTGCAGGGGAGGAGTGTTGCAACATGATCCTTGCACGGTCAAAGGACATTTACCTTCAGCAGTTTCTGAGGCCCGTCGGCTGCTCGGACACTGAGCTTATGCAGCAACTGAACTAGCAGGAGAGAGGAGAAAATCAGTTAAGCAGTGTGTTCTTTTGCTGCAGTTACTTTATCCCAGGTTACTGATTAGAGCTAAACTAGACATAAGCCCTGCTATTTTCTAAAATATCCCCAGGAAACACCGCTCATTGAGTTATTCTAGTAAAAGCACAATCTCATTCAGTTTCTCCCCATTCTACTAAAGATGGAACGGTTGGAGGATGCATCTTGGAATTCAGAGAGGGAAAAGAAAAAAGACATTTTCACTTTTCCAATCTTTCCTCATTTTAAGAGCGGTGCAGTTTTTTGATTCTTGTCAAAAACCCTGTCATTCCTAGCTGCCCTCGTGGCTTCGTGGATTGTTTTGGGGCAGTTGAGTGGTTTGCATCACTTACCCATAAGACCACAGAACCGATCAAAAGTCCTTGGGATCCTGGTCTGGGGGTTGACTTCAATGAGAACATTCTTCTGGGTATGGATGTAAACCTGCAGGAGACCAGCCCGATTCAGCGGGCTGTCCATGAGCATCAAGAGACTCTGAAATAGAAAAATGTGTAGTAGTGGAACCAGAAAATGCCTAAAAGAGCAGAATCTTGCAAAAGTTGAGGCCTAGGCCCCACAAGTGAGAAAGGGGCTTGCACTGAGGCAGAAAAGGCGCATCTGCCCGTACAGGCTCTGCTGCAACCGCAAAGCCACAGACAAACACAGAGAAACAGAGACAGGCAAGAAAGCCAGTGCCCACATAAAAGACACCCAGACCCACAGGCACAAAGACCCTGCAGGAGGCAGGGAAGGCCCGGGGCGCTCCAGCCGCGGATGCGCGAGGCAGCCGTGGTGCTTGGGGTGGCTCCCGCTGGGACCAGGGCCGGCGCAGCAGGGAGGGGGCCGGGGCAGTACCTGGTGCGTGATGTCGGGCCGCACCTCGCCGGGGTCGCGGCCGCTGCGCAGCAGCAGCCCCCTGTGCCTGTCGCAGTTGAGCAGCTCGAACGTCTTCCCCACCTAGGGGCAAAGCGCGCG